TGGAGCGGCCAGAGAACAGCCATGAAGTTGGTCGTCTCGGCTTTATTAGTCTTTTGAGCTGCCCGATTTTTTGAAGCATCTACTGTTGGGACGAGGGGGGTTTGTAGGTCACGGCCGAGGACGCCGATGCACAATATTCTTTGTATGCGGCCGTTCAAGCGGATTCCTACGGCGATGAACACAAACATGGCACAAGTCCGCATGAACCAGGGCGGCCACGAATAGTACCCTGTTAGGGATTCTGCTGACGTTGGTATGCCGCGGGCATGTAAGCGTGGCTTCGTCAATCGGAGTAGATAATGCGAGTGAAATTTGGGCAAAACCCCTAACAGATCATGAGAGAGTGGGAGAGCACGAGAAAGGAATCAAACTGGCTGGAATATAAATCCATATTGTCCTTGTGGGACGTGGTCCTTTCTGCAGCTGGGACATGGCACATTTCTGTACAGCAGCATGAACAAGTTTGTGGTCCTGAGGTTGGCATTTGTTGAGTGTCCGGACATGCACATGCAAGTCCGTATCTGGCTGTATGCCCACAAGAGGCATGAGAAACGTGTCGAAACAAAAGGTTCGGGTTAGGGTTGGCCATGTGATGGTGTTGAAGCTTTGGCGGCTGATTTGAGCAAGAGTCGGCGTTGATGTATGAGAAACGATTAGATGGGTTCGAGGTCAATCATGAGGTGTTGATGAAGCCTCGACTTGGTAGAGAAATCGAAACGACGTCGCTCTCTCTGACGGTCCCGGCAATTTCCCTTGGCTTGGGTTTTGTTACCAATCGCCCTGTGACCGCGGCGCCCTGCATGTCGGTTGCATTTCCCCAGGAGCCCAGCTGTCCAGGACCTGCAGCGGGGGTGGTTGTACAAGTGGGAATGAAGCGAGGGTAAACGGGTTCGATAACACTGCCGTGAGTGACATGTTGTATCATTGGAAGATGAGTGGACAAGCTCTGCAGGCACGAGACATGAAGGGTTCCGCCGGCAACGACCTTGAGGAGATAGATACGACCATGCAAACTGCCAGCCGCCAGCCGTTGTTCCTATCGGGCTGTTGCCGTCGCCATGCCTCGAGGATGGGGATATCCAGTCGCAGGCAATGGTGACCCTCGGTTTGCTCTAGCGGAAAAAGGAAGCTTCCGTGTCAGATGTCGCAACGGGCGCGTGTGATTCATGCCTTTTGGCTGTCTGTGGCTAGACTGGCAGGGAGGGCATCGTCGGTGCCATATGTGCCGCCCACGAGGGAAAGTGATGGGGCTTGGCCTGTTCCTGCGAATCCAATGTGAGGTCGAGATGTCGGGCAAGTGGAGCTCAATATTCCGAGTCCCTGCCTGTGCCCGGAGCACCAGCAGCGAGTCACCGTCACTGGAAAGAACACCAGACAGAGCACAAGGATACGATGTGGACGGTGGACGCCCGAGAGCGGACGAGTGCGTGCGGGCAGAGTGGAGCCTGCCAAGAGCTCCGAGTTTTTCTAGCGTGTGGTTTTATCTGACTGTTTGAGGTTCGTTGAGGTTGTTGCTCTGGAACTGTGAAAGAACACGATGACCCGTGGGCATGAAAGGAAGGAGCTTGGGGTTGGTCGTGATTGCAGTCAAGGACCAAGACAAACTGACAAAGAGCTGGACGGGAAATTAAAGGTCAAAGGAAAGCGATAGAGCATCGGGTCCCACTCATCTCTCCGAGTCCCGTCGTCGCCCGCCCGCAAGGGGAAAAAGAGTCCCCAACCACGGTTATTTTAGTCATCATCCCACGGGGAAACCGTGGCAGAAGAGGGAAACGCCTTCCCAAAAGCACAAGGCAAGGGGTCTGTGGTACTTTCCAAATACCTTGCCTCTAACCACTAGCCTGTTGAGACTAATGTTTAACCCACGCACAAGGTAACGTTGGGGGTGCAGCAGAGGTTCCTTTCATGTCTCTTTCCAGGAAGGTCTCGAGTGCGGTTCCCTGTCTTTCTGACCTTTGCTCAGTCAGTCAGCATCTGCTGCTGCTGCTGTTGCTGCTGGCTGGCCAAGAACCTGAGCGCAAGAGGCAGCGCATTGAATGGAGAGAGGCTCCAGTCTGCAGCGGGCACTCATCCTAGACTACTTGTTCCGTGCTTTCCGCCCCTCTTTCTCTTTCTTTTCCCTTCCTCCAGCATCGCTCCTTGGAATCATATCCCCAGCACAGGGTACGCTCGCTCCCGGTTCTCTCTTGGTGCTTTTTTGGTGTTGAAGTTGGTGAGAAGGTTGACCAAGTCGAAGAAGTTGAAGTTGAAAGAAGTTTTGTTGCAGGTTGTCAGAGAGTTTCCGAGTTCTTCATGTTTGGGTATCTGTCCTCTTTTATCAAAAAGGTCAGTCAAGCTTCTCCTCTCTTCTGCTCTTGTCACGGCGCGTTGCGGTGCCTTCAAGTTGCCTTGTTGCCGCCATCGAGCATGGCTGCCCTGCCTCAGGTCGCCCGTTTCCCCCGCCCTCCCTTATGGTACTACTGCCCGTCAAGCGCGCGTTGACGACGACGACGACGACGACAACAACAACACTATCGACAACATCCACAAGACAATAAAGAGGCGACAACTGGCCGACAAACATACACAAACTATCAGTTCTTATCCCTCGCTCTGGTTGTTGTCGCAAACCATGCGAGCGCCTCTGCATACCAAAACGACGGTCCAACCCCACTTTACCGCGCATTATCGCATCATCGGCTAGCACCTTTTTATCGAGCATGACTTCGTCTGGGAGAGTTGAAGCTCTGTCTTGTCGTCATACGCCACCACAACCGTAGCCGGGCATGGGAACATATATGTTGCGCAAGCTGAAGCGGGGTCAAGCAAGCTTCACGGCCTTGTGGTCGGCAAAATGCTAGCGCTCATGTTTTGGATCGGTTCAAGCGGTAGCTGATATGGGGCTGTCGGTGGCATCAATTCAGCGCATACAACCGGTCCGGGCGTCGAATCGGCAACTGTAGCGGACGGGCAGCGGTGCGACCTACACATGACCATCTGCATGCACTGATCAACGCCGGGTCGGACTTGAATCCTTTGTCCTGCGAGACCTACCTACAACGATAAGGGCTGGGCGCGGGGCACAGGAACTGGGCCAAGAGGCGACCTGTCAAGATGCTGCCTCAGCACTACTTCAACGGAATCAGATCTTCTCTAACCAGACAAATTCGCAGACCCTTTTTATATACATCAACCATCACCATGTCTTCCCTCTCTCGTCGCGCGTGCTACAAGTGTGGTGAGCTCGGCCACCACGCTGAGGCCTGCTCTTCCCCCCACAGACTCTGCTACAACTGTAAGCTATAGAATAGACCTCTCTTCCCGTCCCGCCTTCTAGACTCGTAACTAACACTGTGACACAGGCAAGCAGCCCAGTACGATTTCTCCGCCCCTGATTGGTAGCCCTACATCATGATTTTCTAACCTCCATCGACAGACCACGAGTCCAGCGAATGCCCTCTTCCTCGTAGCACCGAGGCCAAGCAGTGCTACCACTGCCAGGGCCTCGGCCACGTCCAGGCTGACTGCCCTACTCTTCGCATCAGCGGTGCCGGCTCTACTAGTCGCTGCTACAACTGCGGCCAGCCCGGCCACTACATGGTACGAAGCTCTTGATATCTGGCGATCCATGGTATGGCCCTCTGACTTGTCTTCTTCCCGCAGCGCGCCTGCCCCAACCCCCCCACTGGCGGTATGCCCCAGCGTGGCGCCCCCGTTGGCCGTGGCGGTTTCGGCGGTTTCGGCCGTGGTGGCTTCGTTGGCGGTGCTCGTCCCGCTACTTGCTACAAGTGCGGTGGGCCTAACCACTTTGCTCGCGACTGCCAGGCTCAGGCCATGAAGTGCTACGCTTGCGGCAAACTCGGCCACATCTCCCGCGATTGCACCGCTCCCAACGGCGGCCCCCTCAACACTGCCGGCAAGACCTGCTACCAGTGCGGTGAGACCGGCCACATCTCGCGCGACTGCCCCAACAAGCCCCACACCAACGGCGAGATCAAGCAGGACGACCTGAACGTTAACCACGCTGGCCCGGGTCTCGCTGCTGCCCCCGTCCCCCCCGTTGCCCCTGTCGCTTAGGCAGCTGAACAGACCAACGGTGATGGCAGTCCGCCCACGAGTGACGGCAGTCCTCACATCATCGCTGACACCCATGTTACAGCGGAGGGGTTCTTGGACTAGCCATCGACATTACCACATTGTTTTATTCCCTTCTTAATACGCTTATGTATGCCTTTACGAACGAATGCAGCGGTCAAAATCTCGGCGTCCACGGTTCTCGATATATACACAATCGGCTTCATGCTCTTTCAGCACAGGGACACGACGGCACGGAAAACAAAACTTTCAAAATCGGAACGTTTCCTCCACTTTTATGGCAGCTCACGTAGGCACTTCACGGCACGGTTTTTACCCTCTCACTTGGACACAACTTCATGATACCCCGAAATTGACGAAGCGGTGTGGGTCGACTAGATCAGGCCACTGCGGAGGATGATCTCGTCGTCAGTAGGTTGTTGGAAGGTGGCCCATGTTTTGGAGGGGCGAAGGGCTGGCTCGTTCGAGGTCCTGTTGGTGGAAACGGCCAGCTCGGAGAAATTTCAAAAAGAAAGAGAGCGGAGCTTGAGGATGGAAGGCAGCAGGTTAAAAGCAAAAAGCCCGATGTGTGTGTGTTATCTTGGGTTACTCATGGGCTTAGGCGAAGAGATGTCAAATTTTAAACGTTATCAAACTGCTTGGCGCTTATCGTGTGTGCGTGTGTGTGTGTGTGTGTGTTTATCGTGTATTGTGAAGAAACCAGATGGTGAAGGTGTGCAGTGACGAAGCGTTTAGAAATTGTTTCTGGGCCCAAAACGGGTATACACCAGGATAATTCGCGGGTAGCTGAGAAGCAAGAGAGCATTGGGTTTGATATGCGTTTGGTTTGTTAGTTCCAACGAATGCCGCTCATTCAGACAGAACCAGAATGAAGTGCAATGGATGAAAAAAAAAAAATAAAAAAATAATTAAGTCGTGTTGGTGAATGCCCCCACGCGGGATTGAACCGCGGACCTCATCATGTCGCAGATTTGGAATACGAGTGATGCGCTCTACCACTGAGCTATACGGGCCTTGTTATTTACAATGCCAAGATTAGGCACTCAAGTACCCCACATTGGCCTTGGTGTCAAGTCTGGAGTAGATTGCCGCAATTCAACTTCCGCAGGCAATGAATGGCTTGGATAACAACATCTTCTTCTGCGAACATCGACATCTCACTTTTATAACAAATGACTTCCCAACTTCCGGTAATTTCACGCTTGCACCTTCACAACGCACCATTCTACCTCATACATTTACCGGTTACGTTCCAGCTGCCATTTCCTCACCTACCTAAAAATGACATGCACAACCTGACTCACTACCTATGGTTGGATCCCGTCTTCACCAGCAGAAGACAGTCACCCACTGGCTACTACTATCACGGGACTCTCCTGACATGCCCACCCGACATCTAGCAGTCGCAAAGCATCGTCACTTTCTTTTCACTGCCTGAAAAGACCAGATGCAGTTTGCCATGTCCTCTAACTCTGTGTATGTCCATTCGCGCATTCCCGCTGTGTTTTATCAGCCCGTCTTTCCATGTCCCTTCATTCTTCCTGATTAATGCACCTTCGCTTCTTTACCATCATCACGAGCAGGGTCTTCGAGTCGATTTGACCAAACTTCTCCTTTATACTCGCTTGGGACTGGAAGTTTCGTAGCACTTTTCTCGCACATGGCAAACATGAAGGATATCAGTTGGGACCGGCAAATTACGACATCCATCTCTGCCAGTGCGGGGAGGGTCTCTGAAGAAACTCGATGGGATCTTCAAGGATGATCTCGAGATAGCGAGAAAAGAAGGTACGTAGAACATGCGCTGCTTATCATGTCGAAGTGAGGTCACATTCAGGCTGGCCGTCATGGCATGGACAGATGTGCTTGCTATTGCTGTTGGTCGTCGATATACATCCCAGATCTCTGCAGGTCCTTTTGCGCGCTTGCCTATCTGCTTCGACTCCCATGCAAAACGCAACTTGAAGCCTAGCAACAAGAACGGAAGTGAGGGAGTCGGTGGCATGGATGGAATATCCTCTTGACGCAAAACACTGTCATTTCCAATCTGCGGAAAGGAAGCATTTCTCAACTGGACCTTGCGACGCCAAGTCTTCCGTTACAAGATCAAATGGTGCTTACAAGAGGATGAATCAGTAAGAGGAACGAAAACATCGGGTGGGTGTGTGGTGGTTGATGAATGGAATGTATGAGGGAACTGTTAGCGGATAGGCTGTATTGATGCCATATCGCGTTTGCTTCCTTCTGGCAACCTAGGGTTTAAGCTCTGTCCCTTCTTCAAATCTGATGATGAATCGAAGCCCTGTTCTATCCTGACCGTGATGTTCACGAAAAGAAGTTCATGACAACTTGGATTAAAGTTCTCGATATCATACCAAGCTGCAAACCCCAGGCACACAGCTCAATGAAATTGTGGTTTCTGGCTAATCATTTCTCGTTTCTATTTTTATCGACCACCCGGGTTTTCTTCTCGCCAAAACGGACCAATCAACATTTTCTTCTTTTCAACACCAAACAACCACCAAACATCACGTCTTGTCTAGAGATATCTTGTCCTTCTCGTCTCTCTCTCTCTCTCTCTCTCTCTCTCTCTCTTTTTCTCTCTCGAGAATAGCGGACCCGCTGTTAATGCCAAGTTTCCCCGAGCGCTAAACTGCGGTCCAAATGGACTATCACCATCGCCCGAAGACGACCATGTGCAACCGACGAGGATGAAAAGTGAGGTGAAATTGCGAATGCTGAAAAATCTAGGGAGGGGAGAGCTGAGCCTCAGAATACTAGGAGGCTGGGCTCGACGTGGACGCTCTGGAACCAAGCCTCTCATATCATCATCATTCATCTTGCCTCTAACTGCACTCAGCTGGAGGCCAATGGTCTGGGGTTTATGTGCTAGGTGAATTAAATAGACTTCTCACCGTCGGGAATGAATGACGAAATCAACGCCTGAAGATAAGGGGCGGATCTTTGCAACTAACTGTTCTTGGCGTAAGACTTTCCTGCTCAGCTCCAGTGAGCCGGATCTGAGGTCAAGACCAATTCAATCAGATTCAATGTTAGCAGTGGAGGGAACCTCAAGACAGCAATCAATGCTTCTATCACAGCCTTACGGTCCGGCCGGCTAACCCTCAACTTCTTTTTTGCCATCCGCCGCCAAATACCATTTCCTTGGGAGGGATGGATCCGTATTGACGTTGTGTCACATAGTGTACGTCTACGGCGTATGTTCCCGTAGCACAACAGACGTGAAAGAGCCGATGGAGGACAGGTCGGTCAGTCGGTAGTACGATAATATCGTCAGCACGCCCCCAAAAGTGCGACCGAGTTTGATCGAGTAGGACTGTAAGTTACACTAGGCAGGCCGTGATTGCTACCTAGAGGTACCTGTACTTGACAGCCTCAAACCTTCAAGGGAGAAAAAAGGGAGCCGTTGGAGGTGTCCGATATATGTTGGCGACGGGGTTTTTCCTATAGGTATTTTCATGGTATCCCCTTTATCCGCCAATGCCCAATGGAACCGCAGTTGACCGACGGTGTTTTTGATATCGTCTACCTAAAACAACCGACGAAGACCACATGCATAACAGCGATTTGCCGCTATCTTCAGCCCTGGACTTGGCGGACGTTCTCCCGTCGAAGCATGCCGAACCATGCTGCATGATCAAGGAAAACAAAATGGAAGCCTTCCATCCTGCGATGCAGCCTGAATGCACCTGCGTGGCGCAGTTTGCGGCAGTCCGCGCCAATGGCAGCTAAAGAGTGAGCCGACTGGAGCGGTCAATCAAGCAAGCGGCGGGATACCTATCACATCAACCTTCCCTTTCCGAGTGGGGGATGACTGCCCGGAGATCGACAACGTCCCTTCGAGTCCTTCGACTGGTGGAGGGTACCAGAGAGGGTGACAGCAAAGGACGAAAAGAGTGAAAGCCATTATTGACGATGTCCCTCGTTTGGGTTCCAAGAATACCACTTGCCAAGATGCAGAATTTCTTTTGGTGCCATCACTTGCAGATGGGGGGGGCCTGCTGATGGGATACAAAGCCGTGGTCAAGTCTGCCGTCCCCCTCCGTTCTCTCTCGAGAATGTTTCTTCTGTAATTGAATAGGTACTGTTCTGGTCAGCCTATACACAGGCAGTATTTGTTTGATATTGGGAATTTCGTCCCTCGAGAGGTTGTCAGGTGCTGTGCCTCTTCAACTTTCTTCCTCCTCCTCCTCCTCCTCCTTCTCTTAACAACAACACTCCGAAGCCATGACGACCGGGTATCACCCAGTTCGCCATGAGCGCGTGATAAGTGTAGACAGTCTCACTCCCCTCACAGCGGCCGTAGAGCCTCAAGCAGGAGATGGCAATAACAACATCAATAACCAGTCCTTCCAATACGTTGATATCAACGGCCTACCAGTCCATGCCGGCGCTGTTCCTCAACAACCAGACCAGACACACCCAGCCCAACAACCTCTATACGCCGACCACCACCCACAACAACAATATTATGACTACCAGTATAACAATGGCGACTACCAAAACCCCCAGGGACAGTTTGAGGGCATCCAACAAGTCCCACTCCCTATCGAAGGACAACAATATCTCTCAGCCCAAGGGCAAGAAGGCTTCATGTTCCCCCCAAAACAGCCCACAACCTCCTCCTCTGTCGTCTTGCCCATGTCCGCCTCGCCCGCCGCCTCCTGGGAAAAACAAAACCGCACTAAACATGCCAACCGCCACTCCACCATGAGCAGCACAAGCGGCTCGGGCGGCTCGTCCAACATGAAATCCGACAAGCTCTCCGCCATCTTCTCCAAAAATGGCACCTGGACCTACGAATCCATCAGCATGCTGGTCGCCCTGGGAGCCGTAGCCTCCATCATCGCCGTGCTCGCTACCTACGACGGCCAGCCGCTCCCCTCGTGGCCGCACTGGATCACCCTCAACGCCGTCATCGCCATCCTGGCCACCGTCGCCACGGCCAGCATGAGCGTCCCGCTCTCGAGCGGGCTGGGCCAGCTGAAATGGATTCGCTTCAAGCAAGGCCGCGCCCCGCTGTCCGACATGGAGATCTACGACGACGCTTCGCGGGGGGCGTTCGGCGCCGTGAACATGCTCGTGCAAGCGCGGGGCGGGTTCGCGGGCAGTTTTGGCGCCGTGGTGATGATCATCGCGCTGTTTCTGAGTCCGTTTGCGCAGCAGATTGCGACTTTTCCCACGAGGATTGTCGAGACGCCTCATGATGGCGGCGGGGCTGGAGCGGTTAATTACCGGACGGAAAGCTACGGACTGGCCTTGCACGGGAAGGAAGAGCTGGGCCAGGCGTTCGTGCCCATCCTGCCCATCAAGGCGGCGGTGTACAAGGGCCTCTTTGCGGAGGACGGCAGACCGTGGATGGGCCTGCCGTTTCGCTGCTCGACGGGCAACTGCACTTTCCCGCCTATCGAGACGCTGGGGGTTTGTCACAAGTGCGTGGATATGAGCGAGTATATGACGAGGTATTGCCCGCCGGGTCTCCTGGACTCAGCTTCTGATGATGACGACGACGAAAAGAATCAGGATGAGTTGTGTGGCTGGCAACTACCTTCGGGCATGGCCAAGCTCAACTCCTCGGCTGAAGTCTTTGGGATGACTTCCCTTTTCCCCGGCTCGTCCTCGACGGGCGACGCAACCTACAGCACCATCATGAAGCTCATCTTCATGGGCACCGAGACCAACGCCACGGGCCCGGGCGTGCTCTCCCCTTGGGCAACCCAATGCACCTTGTCCGTCTGCCTGCAGACCTTATCGTCAAACATCACCAACGGCTTCCTCCACGAGACCCCTCTCTCCGACCCCATCACCAACGACACCGTCCCCTCTTTATCTTCCTCGTCCTCCTCCGCCGCCCAGGAGTCCGACCTCGCCCCCCTAACCATCCAATCCCCCACCAACTCCTCCCTGCAGTACTCAATGAGCATGCAATCCATCATGGCCATGCAATCCTGGTTCTCACGGCTCTTCGCCAACGGCACCGCCTCTCGCAACC